CCTAATGTGGCAAACTAAAATTGACAAAATCTATGAACACAGAACAAAATGCTACGAAAGTATTTTAGAAATCATTGATGAAACAGAAACAAAATTATATTTTGCATTTATTCAAATTTAATCTAAGCCATGATTAACTAATACAAGACAGTGCTTTAGGTTTGTGAGGACCTTTATCCTCTCAATATTCGTTTGCCACATTAGGAATCCAATACTTCTGAATCCAATTTAAAATATATAACAAGTGCTATCAGATCAGAATACTAAGAATATGGAGCAAGAGACAAATGCTAATTTGCAAATCCACATTTTTGCAGACCATTATTTGGTGGGCTTTTTACAAATAGCAATAGCACTTAGACTTATATGCTGCATCACAGTGCTTTACAGCCTTCTCTAAGTAGTTTACAGAGTCAGCATATTGCCCCCAACAATCTAGGTCCTCATTTTACTAACCTTGGAAGCTGAGTAAACCTTGTGCTAGTGAGTGATCAAAACTTCCCATACAAGGAAAGTTAAAACATAAAGCCAAGATCCTTATGGCTCATTTCAAAATGACAGAACACACACCTGTATTACCCTTGAACAGTCTCTAAGATTGTCTTTCCTTTTCCCACCTACTGAATATACAGTTGTTTATAACTTAAAATTGGACTTTTCTTCAGGTACCTACTTTTACTAAAACTATATACTCAAATCAGTATAGCGTACGGCAATGAAAAAGATTTGGCTTCAGAGAACCTTTTAAAATACTGCTCAAATTTGTGTTATTAATTTAAAAATTTAGCATGTAATTGCCTTTCTCCAGCATCACTCTTACACCTTCTTCAAATGTTCCAATAGACCTTTGTGCATTGTAATGTTACAGAAGGGTTCCCATCGTATGCCCTGACTTGGAAATTTTGCATTGCACATTTCACAAATATATCTTAGCCTTCCAATTGTATTTTGCAACAAATTACATTTTTGTTCAAATATGCTAAATGTGGCTTACAAACATAATTCTTTAATACTCTGAAACTTGAACACAACTCTTATGGAATTTTTTGTCCCAAAATAGTATTGCTCACCTGAATGGAGTTGTCATCAAATTTTTCTGTACCAACTTCTGTCACACTTAGTTGCAAACGATAGAGTTTTGGTTTATCTCTGGAATCAGAACCATCTGTAGCAACAGATAATTTTATCATGAAACTAAGCAAGAGACACTGATTTTTTTAGACATAATCATGTACAGTAGTCCTTGACTTAATGACCCATAGCTTAGTGTCTGTTACTGTGGACTCTTCCAGGACTGCTTATGATCCGGCTTCAAAGTTCTGATGCCCCCCCCCCCAACACACACAATGAATCATATGATTGCATTTTGGGCACTCAGCAATTACAGTCATTTGCAATGCCCCACACAATTTATAACAATTTATAACATTTGTTGCTGGAAACCAGTGTCTACTTCTTCAGGCAAAAAATGCTCATGGATTCGTTTAACAATTGCCTCAAAAAAGGTTGTAAAATAAGGTGCAAATACATGTTGATCTACTTAACGACCAGCACAATGTATGTTTTTAGTTCTGGACATTGGTCAAGACTCCCCATATTGTGTCAAATGCCATCTCAAAACTAATTTTAACTATATTTAAAAATCAATTATTCTCTATGCCACCAAAAGGCTGCTCAAGAGGATCATCCCTTCTCCTAGTTCTCATTTTCTTCCTTTGTAGAAGGAAACATTTGCTTTTAATGTTAATTCTTTCTATTCTACATATTTTCATTTGTGTGCTATTTAAATATTAAATAGAACACTTCTTAAATTATATAAGAAATCTTTTCCCCAAATGTTGGAGAACAATCTGGGCAGCCCGTTTATTATATTTTTATCTCACCTTTAATATTTTTTACAAACTCAAGGCAGTGAATACACATAATGCTTCTTCTACCTATTTTCCCCACAATAATAACACTGTTACCCCACTATTGTTGGGCTAGGAGAAAGTGAGTGGCTGAAGGTCACCCAATCAATTTTCATGTTTAGAATTGACAAGGCTCCTGGTTTCTCATTTTTTAAAATAAGTTTTTAATTTTTAAACATTTTAATATAACAATATTGCATATGAATTCTCAAATTATCACTTATAAGATGGAAACTGGTTACATTGATTCATCCTGAACTGTGTAAAGATGCCTTATATCAATAAAGTCTATCATTTGACTGACCGTGCATAGTTACAAAATATAATTATCCCAAAAGAACAGAAGCATTATGTGATTTTGGCATGTGATCCCAAATATACAAACTATTTCCCTAAATGCCAAATATTTATTCTGGATGCTCAATTATTTTTATTTGAACATTTGCAGTGCATAGCTATGGCAATATCCATGTCCATGTTATGTTTAGAAAACAATACTGTAATACATACTCCACAGTGTTGTAACTTCTATTTAACATTAAATTATTACCTCAGTCTAACAACAAATCAAAATAGTAATCCTAAGCAGAATTCTAATTTAGTTTGAAATAAAAAAGTAGGACATATGCTGAATGCCCAGATAAACCAACCAATTAATTAGGTCCAATTCTGTTAAAAGTAACTGAATAATAAGCAGAAGTGCTTCTAACAAGGTTTATGCCTCTCTATGGTTGTTTGTCTGTAGCTGAATATTATGGATTCCATTGACTTGCAGGAGGAGCTATTAATTGCTAACATAACAAATACAGTTAAATTGGGCCATGGGAATATATTTAATGTCAAGAAAAATCTAAAACCAATGTAATGGATGGATGGATGACAGACATACAGCAGAGACAGTACTGTTATTAAAATCTGATTTTCCCCAAAACTATGCTGAACGTTCTTCCAGATAATGTTGCTCAATTGCTACAGCTTGCCTTTTTAATAGTGACCTTAAGACAGCAAGAGTTAATGTAGCACGTTACCAAAGAGATGGAAGTTTAATAACCTTTTAAACCTTTACCTGAAATCCCATTTCTAGAATAAATCGAAATGAGGAGTTTAGATACACATTCTATATTTCTTTTAGCCTCCAGGTTCCCTCTGACTACGTATGGAATAATGCTGATGTGCAAATGGATCCTTGTGAAATGCTCCAAGTACAAGGTAAATGTTAAGCATTATTTTATTCAATTTAACTGTCTCCTTAAGAGCCATTAGGAATTAACAGAATCTCCACAGATATCCAAAGAATTTATGAAGAAAAATCATTATTGCACAATGTATTGTGAAATTGTGGTTATAAAACTGAAGCTTTCATTTACCATATTTTTCGCTCCATAAGACACACTTTTTTTCCTCCCAAAACTGGATGGAAACGTCTGTGCGTCTTATGGAGCAAATATGGGCAACAGACAGCAGCGGCCAGCGGTGGCGGCGATCCCCACCGCCTGGAACAGCTTATCAGAGGTATTGGGGGGGGGGGCATCCAACCACTGATCAGCATTCCTCGGCAGAGGCAGCAGACACAGAGGTGGCAGGCTGTTTGCTGCAAGGACACTAGCCAGATAAATATCAGATGGATGCTGGGAGACAGAGGCAGATTTTTTTCTTGTTTTCCTCCTCTAAACCTAGGTACGTCTTATGGTCAGGAGCGTCTTATGGAGGGAAAAATACGGTACTTTCTCTCAACATTGTTTGCATATGTACAATATACATATACAAAATATATTCAATTATTGAATATATTGTATATATAGCCCTATAAGAGCATTATGCAAAGCCTACAGATATACTGTATCTGCTGCTTTAACTAATTTGTTGAACTTTTCCCCTACAATGAAAACACCAGAAGAGAATCTTAGAAGATGCTGAGTTTTGGTAACTTAGTCAACTTCCAGTCCTGCAGAATCCTAAATGTTTTTAGGAGGATAGTTCTGAAAAATTAGATTTGGGAATTGCTATCAAATTCAAAATTGCCGTAACCTACCCCAACTATCTGTGGCAACCGCAAGGGCCAGACTGAGCTATAAATAAGCTACCCGCTGATTCATTCCCCCAAGCAGAACCATCAAAGTGAAATTTTGAAACAACAAGAAAGATCTGTATCTTTGCACACCAATCTGTAGGAGTTATTTTTAATCCTATAGGAAGGGAGACAGATGGTGGAATAAGGAGTAAGACATATCCCTTATTTTTAGATCCTCCATTCACTCCCCATGATCATGTGTCTATCATTACTTTCTACTGTCATTTCCAATAATCTCCAATAGCTGAAAGCAATCCCCATTGTCAATTAATTAGGAGATCCATTCTTGCTTGTCACCAGTTCTTTCTGAACTATTTCTTGTACTAAATATTAAACAGAAATAAAGATAAATGCCTTAGCAAAAGTAAGATGGAAATTCTAATTGATCCGGTATTTGTTCCTTCGCTAAAGTAACATTAAAGGTAGAGTTGAAAGAATTCTGCTACTCAACAGATCAGATAGCTGCTTTATTAAGCCAGTCTCTCCTCTGAGTGCTGATGGAAAAAAGAGAACATGATACAAAAAAGGCAGGCCTTTCTCCTTAATAATAAGAGCAAAAGTCTTAGGATAGACAGAAACTGAAATTAAGAGAAAATATTAGCTTAATTTACCTGATAATATTTTTTATACAGGCATTCACTCAACATGCAGCACAAGGCTGTGCATGCCATTAAAAAAGAAAACTAGCAAAAAAAGGCTGCAAAAATAAAGGATAATACAATACAGCAAAAACACATTGTTTTAAGCAATCAAAAATAATCTCTCAAGATGGGCTCACAAGACCTGTCTGAGGGGAAAAGGAGTTCTATTGTCTGTGGAAAAGCAAGCAAGATTGAGACCATCCAAATCCCAGAGAGTTTCAAAGGGCAGGCATAGTAACAAAAGAAGGCATGTAGGCATGTTTCTAGATTCCATAAGCAATGGGTCCCACAGTATATCAGTTGAATCAACATTTCTAGGTAGGCAGCGAGAATTAGAAACAAGCAAGACTACAAATAACCAGACCGAAATGCACTGGAGGCTTTAAAGGTGATAACTAGCACCTTGAATCCTCTCAGAAACCTACTGGCAACCAAAGCAGTCACAACAAACAGTGTGACAGTGGCAAACAAAGGATTTGCCCTCCTGCTGTGGCTTTCAAATAATTTTCAAAGTCAGTCCCATGTAGAGCAAATTGCAATAATCCATATTGAAATTGACCAAAGCATGGATGACTAAATATGGGCTCTTGAACTAGGAATGGGCATAATTTATGCATAAATTCCTGCAAAAGCCTCTGCGCCATGATGACCACTTGCTCTTGAAAGAGAAGTCATGAATTTAAGAGGAACCTTAAACAGCAAAAAACTATTTTATAGTCTTTTACTATCTGTCGCAGTGGAACCTCAGAATCAAAATCAAAGTCTTCAAGAGGCTTCAAAACTTGTAACTAGTAGTCACTTACTAGAACTGAGACGTATATTCCTCTCACCTCATACCCCCACCTCTACAAATGGAATCTAGTTGGATTCATTTGGAAAAGTAGGGGCTGAAATGAACTGTATAATATCAGCATACTCATATCTAACCCAAGTTGATACATGACTTCACCCAGAGGCCTCATGTGCTATTAAAAGTGAGCAGGGAGAGAATCAATCTAAGGCAATCACAAGGCATGGGCCACAGCTGGACTCTCCTGGAGCAAGGAAGCAAATCACTACACCGCTGTGTTCCCACTTCCAACTTTCTGAGCCAGTCCTAAACAATATCTTGATTGATTGTACTAAAAGCCTCTCAATATCAATTACATACTAGAGTAACATGACAAGACTATTGTTGCCCCCCTCCCATATATGTTTCACATCTACAGGGAAAATAGATGTTCTCAATCCCAGCTCCTTTGATTACACAGATGCAAACAATATAAAAAAGGTACCTTCAACAGATAGAACAGACACATCATGAGGAAGATGCCATGATCACTGCTCAAGTGACAGATTCCAAAGAAGTTGCAGACTCAGTTAGCACCCAATCAGCCATCAAACTGATCCTGCTACAGGTTTTCCAGATTGCCACCAAGCATGTAACAGTAGGTACCATCTATGCCACTGGGCAAATATTCACTGCTGCATAAGTACTTGGCACCACTCTTCCACCATTTTGCAGCTTAGCACCAAGCAGCTGATTGGCAGTACTTCCAAGTAAACAACTGTAACTGTTCAACAGCTGA